CTTTTTTTTTTTTTTTTTTTCCAGTACTGGGGATTGAACTCAGGACCTTGTGCTTGCCAGGCAGGCACTTATGCCACTGAGCTATATTCCTGACCAGAAGACATTATTGTACTTATAGGCCATCCAATTTTGATGAGTTTTGATGAAGAGCTTCGAACACATTAAAAAACAGAAGCCAAGTCTTCCCATTTCATGTCACTTGGTTCATTTTGAAGGCACAATCTTGGAATGAAGTATTATTTAAATTTCGATAAATAAAGCTTAGAATCTATTGTGGCAGTTGAGTATCTTCTACCACAACTTGCCAGTGGCTGTTAATTTTTAGTGTTTGTTTGTCTGTCTGTTTTTGAGACAGGGTCTCACTAACAGTTCAGGCTGGCCTTGAACTTACCATGTAGCCTCATAGTGATCCTCTTGCCTTAGCCACCCAAGGGCTGGGATTATAGGTGTATACCACCAGGCCTGGCTAGTTTTACTGTGTTAAGTACTAATTAGTAATAAATTCCAGAATTTGTATCTCAGGAAAGGGCAAGAAACAGTTCTTCACAATAGTGCTTGTACAGTAGACACAAAATAGTTGTAAGAGTAAGGAAAAATTGTGATTCCTTTTTAAAAAAACTTGATACATGATATGAAGGATTTTTTGGGGGGAAGTGGAGGGCTGGCTCAGGATGCCTTCAGGGCAGATCTGGCAAATCTTGAAGATCCGGGGATCAAACCAGAGCATCCTGAGCCTGACTGCTTTAGCAATCACTTAAACAGATGAACTAATGGACAGGCTCCCAAATTTTCCATGATATGAAAGGGTAATTGCTGTGCATTTGAAGCCAGCTTGGGCTACATAGTGACTTCAATGCCAGCCTGAACTATAAAGCAAATGTGAGACCCTGTCTCAAAAAAAGAAAGAAAAATTGACAAAATACTGGAGAATTATTTTGTTACATCTTTGTTGTATTTATATACTAGGGTTTTCCCAAACAAATTTCATATTCTGTCACTTCTTAACACAATGAGTTTTTAATGTGATTTCAAGCGTTTCTTGCATTTTCTTAGTGTGTCAAGTACTCCAAGTTTATAAAGTTTAACTTTCCCCCTGCTGCTGTTGATTGAGCCCAGGGCCTTACTCTTGCACAGTGTGCACTCTACTACTGACCTATATCCCTAGGCTAAATTTTACTTCTATTAAAGTGGCTTGCCTTGTGAAGTAATGTTAATTATCTTTTTCATTTTTTTCAGGTTGACACCAGCAAAGATCGTATTGATGTTGCCAATACCAAAGCAAAGAAACTTATTGACAGCTAAAGCCACTGCTGTACTTCATTACCATTTATTCACTTTTTTAGTTGCTCCTCCTATGCCAGTGCCTTTTCAGAGTTGGAAATTTTGATCTAATCTGAAGTTTTGTGCTGATTGGGAGG